GTCGTGTACCCGACACCCCAGTACCCAGACCTGAGCCTGAGGCACATCAGGAATCTGCCCGCTGAGCACCAACTGCCTGTGACGGTGACCCAGCGAACGAGCCCTTGACCTCGTCCAATGGCTGAACACGGGACGGCCGATTAAGAAGCTTGTGTCACAGTCTGACTGTGGCTCCGGGAATCAGACCAACAGCCCGGATGAGAGGAGCGCTTAGAAGCCTGGATCTTACCAGAACTGCTGGAGAGCAGATTCAAGTTGCCGCCCGGGAAGTCCTGGCTGACAGGAGCAGTAGTTGACGCTGACGGTGTTGAGACGAGCCTTGGGGAACATCTGAAAGTCCTGCTCAGGACCGAGCGTGCTGGGCGCGGAGGCTGCCGGACACAGGCCGTCCAGGAGGCTGCCTTTGGGGTAGTTCTGTGTCTGCATTCCATAGGGAGCCTGCTCCACGCCGAAACCTGGAAATGAACCACAGACGGCAGAGCTGTCAGGTGACCTGAACGGGACAACCTCAGGCCCCGCACACCTCAAACCGGACAGAACTCGAGCAGCTCTGTGCACACCAGTCCCCCGCAAGCCCTTGGTGGAAACGTGAAGGTTTTTCACGGAGTCCTCCTCTTCTCGAACAATTTATCTTCTTAGTCAACGGGCCCCTTTCCAAAATGCCTGCAGCCTCTGGACCCCGGGTGCAATGTTGCATTGTGAATATTTCTACATCTCTCGTTTACTGACTGTGTCCACGTGAGCCTCACGCTGACAGGGTCACTGGCTCTTTCGGCTCCCGAGGAAACTAAGGCTCAGGCAGACTAAGTGGTCTGCCGTCTAGTATGTGACTCGTAAGGGAACATCTCCAGTGACCCTACCCACGCCGGCCGGGGACCACCGTAATCCACACGCACTGGTGTCAACCACCAGAAGGAAGGACCTGAATTCCCTGACACCTCTCTGAATTCCACAATTCAAAACAAACTTTAGTATTGCTGTCCACACACTTCCTGTGCCTGCCACCTCTGTTTGTCACACTGATCTGCCCCCAGCAGTCGGCTCACTCTGCCTCTTGCTCTATAAATTACCTAGACCACATGAGGCAAAGATAATACAAGCCACTGATGCCATGTTAAATTTTCTCGTAGCCATGTTAAAAGACTAAAAGGAAAACAGGTGAAATTAATTTTAACACTTTACTTGAGCTAATAGATTATCCTTTTGATATGTAATCAAAATTTTAAAAATTATTAAGGAGATATTTACACTCCCTGTTCCCTACGAAGACTTTCGGATCCGACGGGAGTGTATTATATTCTCATCGCACATGTCACTGTGGACCAGCCACCCTTCAAATGCTCAGTGGTCTGGATTGGGGGGTGGGGAGTGGCCACCATATGGGATGTAGCACAGGTCTAAACTTTGCCTGTGGACTTTCCATAAGTCAAACAGGAAGACTTAAAACCAAGCTCTTAAGGGCAGAATTAATTGCACTGACCTAACGAATTGCTATTAATCCAATGAGGAACTGAGTTGAGGTGTGAATTTTCTTCATACTGATCTTCTGTCTTTTCCTGGTTTTCTGAAAAAGAGACACAGGACACATAAGATTGCAAATCGGGGTTAAAACTAAACAAGAAAAAAGACGTTCCTTTCTGAATCACTGTTCTATGGTGATTTCAGCAAAATGAAATGCATTTAATGCTTTACATTTAATCCAACGGTGTTCCATGTAATCATGTTGTTTAAATGCACTAGAGACAGCGACACATTTTTCTAATAACTAGAAAAAGTCTTCCAAAATTAATGCTGTCCCTGGCAGAGTGAAATATTCTACATAATTTGAGAGACCTAGATGGTGTATTGAATTTATCCACGTGGTCAACAGTTAGATGCTTATCAAGTACCCCCTGCCCCAGGGGCTGGAATCCCATAGATTAGTAACACGGACACAGTTCCTGCCCTGGTGAGGTTTATGCTCCTCAGTGTGTCCGGGGCGGAGGGGGAGCTACAGAAAGAGGCCCACAGCGTCTGAACAGGGACACACGTGCACGGGAACTTTGAAGGGAAACCAGGTTGCATTCCCTGCATGCGTTTACCTCCTACAAACACCCTGAACCCCACGCCCCTCCCCCAACAAAGCCAGACCCACACAGACTCACACGCCGACAAATGGCAAAACAGGACCAACTGCCAACAAACAGATTCCCCAGGAACTTGTCAGATCAGACTTGTCCAAACTCAGGGAAAGTTTGAGGGCTTTAAAAGTAAGTTTCCCTGGCCCTCAGAAGCCGTAACTAAAGGGGGCTGGCAGACACCCCCCAGATCTTTTTACGATTCTGAGTCTGTAACAGATGGCGAAACTCAGAGTTTAAAATCAATTAAATGAGGACCTATTTCCCTGAACTCCACTAACAGGCTTATTTTCTTATATTTTTAACTTGAATGATCCCTCATGATAATGCTTTTCCTGTTTAACTCAATGACTTTTTAACATTGTTCTCAACACTCTTTTAAGGTCAAAATCAAGACTTTCTATAAGAGGTAAAGTTTTTTTTTTTTTTGCTCAAAGGCTAGTTGCTGTATGTCAGTGAGTGAATATAGATCAATTACTTCCATGTTTGTTTAAAAACAAAACCTAAAGAGAAAACAGGAAGAGAAAAAAGAAATCTTTTTGTTGGATTCCATCTGGTCTTAGGAAAATTTACTATAAAATTCACAGCTTATCTGAATAAAGGCTCCCTTTCACAGAGGCTGCCTGATTGCTACAGGCTCTGTCAGGTGGGCCCCAAAGCCTGGGCAACCTTGCTGCCTCACCTCCCCATCTGAGCCACCATGTTCGCCTCCGACACATGATGTCTGGTGACAGCGAACAAGTTGGTGACTAAGGCCGCTGCCTTGTGGCTCACACTCCCCCACCCCCAACACGCACTCAAGTGGAATCAAAATCCATCCCCTCTGCCAGGTCGTTGACTCATTCCAATGGTGTTTTCAGACGATCTGCCCTCCATCACTTGAAACGCTGACCCTACGGCTATAGAGCACGGCCCCCCGCCATCACTGGTCCCCGCCATGTGCACCCCTCCCGGGAGAGGCCAGTTGCTCAGTGGGTACCTTTGATCATCTGCTCCAGGTGTTCCCAGAGGATGTCGCCCACAAAGTCGGGTGCCAGCTCCAGAAAGCGCTCCTTGCCAAGGTTACACAACACCTGGCCGGTCATGCCGAACCCCTGCAGGTTGACGTTCACCAGACTGAATTCGTTGGTGGCCCAGAGAAGCCACTGGCACACCTGCTGCTCAGTCCACAGCCAGGGATCTACCAGGGAGGGAAGAAAAGACAGAAGACGTGAGGGGAAGGGGGCAGTGAGAGCAAAGAGGCTCCTGATTTACCCGCTGAGCCCAGAAGGGCACCAAAGTCCAGGAAAATGCGTGAGAGACCCTGGAAGGTTCTGAGACACTAACAGCAGTGTTTGGCTGGCTGCTTTTGGAAATAAAAACTGGCCCAGCTAAATGACACCTCTGCCACCCTTTGCAAGATGCTCTGAACAAGCCATCCCAGCCACGGCAGCACAGTGCGTCCGTCCAGGACGACGCAGGCGCAGAAAGCGGCCCCGGGGAGCAGCACCTACTCTTTGGGATGCCGAGGCGGCGCTGCTCCTTTTTGAAGCCACTGAAGGTAGCTTTTAAGGCTTGACTCATGACAGCCTTGCTGCACGGGGTCAACAGAGGCAACTCACAGTTGGTCGAGTCTGGAAAAGAAAACCCCAGGACGTTAGGAGTTCAAGCCGGCGACAACACAGGCAGGACCGAGCAGGGGGACATCCTGGTCTTTAGGGAAGAACAATTCTGATCTCAAACCTTCAGCATCATTCCTCAGAAGAGTATAAATATTAACAAAAAATGTTTTTGACTGAAACCGAGAAAACATTACACATCTCAGAACTACACTTACAAAAAATCTCAAATAAAACTCAAGTTTTATTTTGCAAAACTTCATAAAGGGGTGATGCCCAGGTAATATTTCTATTTAAGGCTTTACTTCAATGTTAGACAACGAAAGAAACACCATGGCTTAAGGGGCTGTCAATGCCTAACCTGGAAGCGACTTCCACTAAACAAAGCAGCAGGCAAAGGGACGTCAGGCATAAAGGGAACACACCGTGCTTGGCACCTGTGACGTCCGCACATCTTCCATTTTTATTGAAAAACCACCTTCTCTGGATTCCCTCAGCAATTTCAAGTGTGATAAATGACCGTCACACGGCAGCACGCTTATGCAAGCATACGTGTTTTCATTAACTTTCTGCGCTGTATTCTCTAGCACCTACTTCATATGACAAAGTAGCCTCTGGAATGTTTCCAACCAGTAACTGTATCATAGTAATGGCAGAGGCACCGTCCAACGTGCTATTCTTTTAAAAAGAATAAACAGCTCCGGAAGCAAACACAGATGGGTAACGATAGGCAAGAGTAATTTTTTGCCCCAAAACTCGGAGTTGGGGGCGGAGGGATGATCTATGTAATGATGCAAACACAGGGTGAAAAGCTGGGATGCATTTTAACGTCCACTGGCCTGCTTCACACAGCAGACTGGCAGGTGAGGCTGGGCTGGCTGCAGCTGGAAGCAGCCCAAGGGAAAGCTCAGGGCCCCGCTGTGGTCTGCTCCCAGCAGGGCACTCGCTCTCCCTGGGGTGTGTCTGGCAGGTGAGGACACCAGCCACCACATGTGTAAAAAAGGAAACCTGTCTTCTCCGGTGCGGGGCCTCTACCTGACTCTTCACACTCAAGATTCAAGACACCGACGTTCGTCGCTTAGGAATTGCCATCTCTCTATTAACTGGACGACTTACGGACATCATGCTCAATTCGTCAAGTCTGAGTAACAAATTACCATGAGAAATTGAATCCAAGCCTGTTGGCACTTCTTGGAGTGTTTGCTCCTCATTTAACGAGGGGAAAACGGCAAGCAGGGACCCGTCGAAGGTGTCAAAGGCGGGCTGGCGCTGCAGAAGCAGATGGAAAGAAAACCAAAACGTGATTTCTGACTTACTTAATGATCTACTTTAAAAGTGGTTCATGGGCAGTCTCACTGAGGCACCCCAATTAAACTACCAGTTATACAGTGGCGCATGGACTAGGACAGCCTGAGTAGACTTCGGAGAGGGTCAAGGTGATTATACTTCACTCTGGATTTACAGGCACACCTTGGAGACACACTCCAGACCACTGCGATAAAGCAAGTATCGCAGTAAAGCAAGTCACACAAATTTTGTAGTTTCCAGGTGCGTAGAAAAGTGACACGCGTTTATGGCCAATTAAGTGTGCAAGAGTATCATGTCTAAAAAAAATAACAATGCTTAATTAAAAAATACTTTATTGCTAAAAAATGGTAACCATCATCTGAACCTTCATCTATTTTGCGGCGGAGGGTTTGAAATATCGCGGGAATTACCAAACGTGACCTAGAGACAGGAGGTGAGCAAATGCTGTTGGGAAAACGGTGCCGATCAACTTGCTGGATGCGGGGTGGCCGCAAACCTTCAATGTGTAAAACATGCAGCATAGCGAACTACCATCTGTACCACCTGACAGGGTGTGCCTGTAATCAGCCTCAGGGCCACAGGTATGCCGGGGCATTTATTTTTAATGGCCTAACCAATTTAAATGAATACATTAAGTAAACTAACTTAAAACAAGAGGATCTTAGAGCAGTGCTGGGAGGGAGGGATCTCAAAGACCACCTGGTCCAAACACCTGGCCCTTGTAAGCTACACGGGAGAGAAACTTGAGTATAGAAGAAAAATGACCCTTGGCTGGACAGTTTCAGCTCACCGCAGTTAAAACAAAAGGCAAGCGACTGGAAACCAAAAATCAAATGAGGAACTATATTACTTTATCTGTGGAAGCATTTATTCTGAAATGTTTACCATGAAACACTTTAACTGAAACCAGAAGTTTTCCCTCCGCTATCCCATATGAGAACATTCCTTAAGGCTTAATTCTGTACAAGGAAAGTATATTCAAAATGACCCCCCCATCATACATTAAAGGGAAAGATTTCCAAAGGAAATAGGTTTAAAGATAAACTACCTATAATTTAGGAGAAAGAGGAGGAGAGTTACACAGAGAAAGATAAACGTCACATTGTGAAGATTTCTAATAATCTCATCTAATATTTATAAATTAAATAGCCTTTAATGCAAGGCTCACTTATAAGTAACAGATAAAGGCTTGATTCATCATTGCCTCACTTGTTGAGGAAAAACGTGAAGAAAGGTTATTTTTTTTCCAACGTTAAGCTGGAAATCCCATGTTATGTGTAACGCAATGACCCATCTGCTGAGTCATCAATTAAAAAAATGTGTAACACATTTACAACTAAAACGGTCTGTATGCTTTCTTTTTAGAAGTGCGGAACAATGAATGACGCATTACATAAGAGGACAGGCAGAAGCTGGAGCTCAGCCCAAAACACTCGAGTCAGTGATGTCCCAATGGTGTTGGAAACCAGCCCCCAAAAACCCAAGGCAAGGATGTCCAAAGACCCACAGTGGGGAGAACCAACCAAGCAAGTGCAAAATACTTACCTAGATCTACAAAGTACCCTATAGCAGCCCTAATTTTGGTGAAAGAGCCAACGGATTTTTTAAAATTCCCACTAGCACTGCCCAGGTGACTAAGAAATGCCTTTCCTTACCAGACCGTTCTCTTGACTGTTCTTTTTTTTAAAACCGGAAGCCAAAGACAAGACAAATTCCTGCTGCGTATTTCAACACATCAATTTCAGCAATGAGTTTCTTCTCCAAACCCAGAAATCACATGGGCATCGTCAAACTCCCTTAAGTTATAGCAGAATTTTTCTCTCTAGAGGTGTCGTTTCAAACTTAGTATCATAATTTCTTGTCTGGTTTCCGCTACGCTGGAAACGTCTGTACAAATTGAACCAAAAAACTCACTAGCCTGAAGTTTGATAAACTTCATGGATACTCTAGAGGCCCGTGCCAGATTTTGCCTCTTTGGGCTCTATCAGACAAATAATCTCATGATGATACACAGAGAAAAACATAACATGCCAGAGACATATCATTGTACAAAAACATTCAGCTCAGAGGAGGCCAATCTAAAAATCACTGCTTCTGAGACATGTTTATTATACAACACTGAAAAAAAAAATCAAATCTCACAGTCACATTTGGAGAAGGCAAATGGGAAATTATCCATTTCTGCTGCTAAAGAATGTTCCCAAAGGGATTGAGACAGAAGCGACATGAAATCTGTTTATTATGCAGTGGAGACGGCTCTTTCATCTTTAATCTGTTTTTCAGTTTGCATCAGCTTGCACGGTCCTGCCAGGAAGGACAGGCTGCCTACATCCCAGCGGGCATTGCCGCTTCTGACGGGAGAAGCAGCTCTTTAACGTCAGTTCTTAAACAGCCTTTCCGTCACCCAAGGAAACTCCCGGAATGGACAGAACAGATAGTCTCTACAGCTCTGTTCTCTTGAGAATTCATAGGAATTTTCACCTGGTAGGAGCCTCAGCAGTAAACTACAAAGGCCTCACCATCTACGAATTAAATGGTTGCATATCTTGGAGGGCCAGTCAAACAAGCACCAGGACACCCATTTTACAGACTAGAAAACTGAGACCCAGAGAGATTAAGCAAACAGTCCAGAGTCACACAGCCTGTAAATTAAAAAGCTAAGGCTAGAACCAGCCTTCTGGGATCCAGCCCATTGTTTTTTACTCCTAGAGATTGCATTTTCTAATTTTTTTAAATTTAATTAAGACTTATTTACTCACCTTGAGTGTCCCTCTGTAGCTGTTGGACACAGGGGCCACCTGGTCCATGTTTTTGATTCCAAAATCATTCATCTTAAAACAAGAAAAGAAAAAAGAAAAGAAATGAAAGAGTCAAAGAGGGACAAACCAAGTCCATTTTTTAAGAAGTCTGCACTGGCCACATTCACACTTAATTTGGGCTGAGTCTGTCAAGTTCCGCAGCCCTAACAGGTCAGTCAAAACTGAATGCCAGGAATTCTTTTCACAAAGGGGATGCTATTTAAGTAATTAAATAATAATGCCGATTTGCCACTGAATTCCACTTAGATTTGAGGCGCACAGATAAAGTTGCCTTCGCTCAGAACCTCCTGGGGAGCCTGGCTGGGTGACCTGAGCAGGGGGCTTGTGTTCTAGCAGAGGAGTGGGAGATCTGCTTTCTACCGCCAATTCCAAGGTCAACTCCAAGGGGTGAGGGCCTGGGGGGCTCTGTTGTGTGGGCCGTGGGCCACCTCCTGTCTGCCCCAGGGCAGTCAGCTTAACCTGCGGGCGTGCCCGCCAGCCGCAGGGATGCCCTGCCCCTGGCAGCTCACAGGAAGATCCGGACCCGGGAAATTCTGCTGAAAAGCTGCATTGGAGGCCCCCTCCCCACTGCAATCTGTGAGGAAGCACAGGCGCAGGAGGCTGATAAAAGGGAGACCAACCCTCCTGCAGCGGCCCAGGGCACCCAAGCGCAAAATGTGTCTGCGCTGTGTGTGGCTCAGCCTGCATTTCTTCAAGAGGAAGCAGTTCTAATCATGGATCGGCCTCGCTTGCTTTGAAGGCCTGGGCCTTCAGAGACCTGAGACCTGCAGAGACCAATGTGTAGCCACCAGCCTCATGTGGCTAACTGAGCGCCTGGCCCAGGGCAAGGGCGAACTCAGATGTGCTCTGCGTGTAAAATGTACCCCAATGTCAAAGATTTCACAGGAAAAAAGTAAACTATCTCAGTACTAACTTTATGTTGACTGTGTGTTTATGTAATTTAAATGTGCTAGGTTAATTGAAATATACTGAAATTCATTTCACCTATTTCACTCTATTTAACGTAGCTACTAGAAAACTCTGAGTTACAGGTGTGACTTACAATTGGACAGTTCTGCGTGTGACTTGTGATTGCTGTAATAATCTGAAAATGTTTTGGGGGCCCTAAAATGTAATTGTTTGGTCGGTTAAGTTAAATATTAATAAGTGAGAAATGTACCTTGATAATCCTGCCAGGGTGTTAGAGAAAAAAACAGAGCAACGAAAGCTGATTTTCAGATAACCTAGGAGAGCATCAGTGACAGGAACCCACCCCCTGGCTCCTTGACCATGAACTGCAGGTCTAGAAGGAAGCTTTACGGGGTACCTCTAACGGCCCACCCTGCGGTCGCCACTGGGTGCTCCTACCTGTTACAACCACGAACTTTGAGTAATTAAAATATTGTGCAATAGACAGGACTGACTGGCGGAGGCCAACAGCCTGTTTTCCCGTAACTACTTAATTCGAGTTTGTACTTTCTTGTTTTTTCTTTATGGTCAACCTTGCGGCTAAACCAGACCTCCCAGCAGCTCAATACACAGGCACACGTACACACACGCACACACACACCCCTTGGCTGGAAAGGCAGCGTGGGAGGACAGTCACTGCCACAGGGGAGGCGAGAGGCACTGGAGACGGCTGTTAATACCTTAAGTGCGGGTAATTATCATGGTGGCCAGTGCAGGCTCAAAAGCTTTGACAAAAAACAATATTCCTGGGGCAGGGGCGTCCAGAGGGTACAAAAGTGGCCACATTTGCCCAGAATCTCCACTTGGTGGACAATGTCATCCACATGCACTCAAGAATCAATATTCACTACTGATGGTCACCGCCCTGGAAGACTCCCACTTGGTAAAGGCTAAGCCTGAGCTGGGGGACCACACCTTCCCCCGCTCACTGAATCGTCTGACATCCCTGAGTGGTAGATGTTATACCATCATACAGTGAGGCAACAGAGGCCCAGAGACCTCGGGTACCTGGCCCAGGATCACACAGCAACCGCGGGCCATCTAAGAGGCATAGTGCAGACCAAACCCCAGTGGAGTATGGCCCTACCTCCTGAGCTCCTCCATGTGCCAGGATGACCTGAATGATGAGGCCTGGGCCCTCCTGCCCCTCCCAGCACATCAGAAAAAGCAGAGACGTCACACGGATACTATCAGACTAGGCCCCTGCTCTCTACTCCTTATAATGTGAAATGCCCCTTAATGTGGAGCTAATGTCATTGATCTGGATGAACCAAGTCCTGTCACCTGTTGATTACCTTAACAAGCCTCAAAAAGGAGACCAAAATGCAAGGACATCTTGGGTGCTGCCAGTGATCCGTCTTCTTCCCAGGTTTTACAGATTTTATGCTACATTTTTCAGCCTCACAGAGAGAGGAGGATGGATGCGGAAGGTAATGAAAAGCCTCGCCTGGTTTTTGTGTACAAATACCAGAAGGAAAGGCAGTCTACCACTCCCACATAAAGAGCTGTAATTACTAGCTACAGAATAGAATTCTTTTGTTGTCCAGCTTTTAATTTGTTTTGTGAAAACCATGTAGAATCAAAGTGCTCTACCAATGGTTTGTGGCAAACACATAACTAATCAAATTTAAGTTCACTTATTTTATTC